GTACCAGGAAGCGACGCCGAGGAATTGGCGCACTTGACGTACGGTTGTCGGTGCTGTCCACGCGGCTACCGCGCTGACCTTGTCTGTTCGAATGCCGTCTTTGTCCACTATATGCCCCAAATATTTGAGACGGCTGCAACAGAAGTGGCACTTCTGTGGGTTAAGGCGGAGGCGCGCTTGTCTCAACCGTCTGAAGACCTCGGCCAAATGTTCCATATGGGTCTCCAGTGACGAGCTGACTACGATGATGTCGTCGAGGTAGACCAATACGTGTGGCTCGAGTTCCGGGCCGAGGACACTATCCAGCAACCGTTGGAACGTGGCCGGTGCCGAATGTAACCCAAAAGGCATGACTTTAAATTGGTAGAGTCCTCGCCCAGGAATGGTAAAGGCGGTGGCTGGACGGCTGACCGGATCTAGTGGCACCTGCCAATATCCGTCCTTTAAGTCTAGTGTCGAAAGGTACTGGGCCCCTCGGAGCTTATCAAGTGTAGCGAGGATGTGCGGCAGTGGGTATGCATCTTTGTCGGAAGCTTGATTCAACTTACGGAAATCGATACAAAATCGGTGTCCTCCATCCTTCTTCTTGACGAGGACTACGGGGGAACTCCATGCGCTGTTGGATGGTTCGATCACTCCGGCTTCCAACATTTTATTCACCTCGCTATCAATGACGGCCTGCATGGCCGGATTACGGGGTCGGTACCTCTGCTTTATTGGGGCCCCAGGCCGTAATCTGATCTGGTGTTTGGTGCGATCGGTGGGCCCCTGCACAGACTCAAATAGCCGGAGTTCGGTATCCAAGAACTGCCGGAAACGCTGGTCTTCCTCTGGTGAGCGTGGGGAGATTCCGGCGGACAATTTGCCGTGGACAGACGCCACCTGGGCTGGAGCCGTCCTCCCTGGTCGGTTGGATGGAGGAGGCGGCAGCGTAATGCGTAACCGAGCCCATAGGTCGACTCCGATTAGTACCTCGCTGCTGAGGTCATCCAGGACCTGGAAGCGGTGGCGGACAGAGCGAGGGCCGACTCGGATGGCGAAGCGGATCGAACCGGAGGTGGGTGCCTTGAAACCGTCGGCTAAGTTGACCGGTTCTTCGGACGGCTGGATCTGAAGGCCGCGGCCAGACAGGCGTTTGGCCATGGCGGCATTCACAAACGATACCTCGGATCCGGAATCGAGAAGTGCCCAGGTGTAGAATCGGTGAATCTGGACTGGTAAATGCGGCCGCGGTGTGTACTCTATCTGGACGCGGGTCGGGCAATGGCCGCCTCGTTTCCGACCCGCCGGTCGTTTTCCGTCGGAGGGTGGCAGTCTCGCGTTAGGACGCCATCCTTCCCGCACTGCGAGCAGAACTTCCGTGCTGGGCGGCGACAGTCGAGTCGTGTGTGCCCTCGCTGTTTGCATCGCCAACAGCAACTCGCACGGTCATATGTAGTGGCGGCAAGATTCGCCTCGGTGGACCGTGATGTTTCGCGGCGTTGTTCTTGGCGACGCCGGTGGATTTCCTCCCACTCGGCGGCACGACTGCATAGCGCGGAAACGGAGTGCAGTTCGTCCAATCGAACGTATAGCTGGAGTTCCGGGTCGGCGTTTTCGTATAATTGCTCGAGCCGTTCCTGGCTAGTGTAGCCGCCAGCCCGACGCATCATTGTCTGTACGGCGGTAGCGTATCGCGTAAACGCCTCTCCTGGCTTCTGTCGCCGGCCTTGTATTTCCCGTCGTAATTGTCGTTTGACCCGGGTGATAGATACTGGGCCAAGAAATCCTTTCGGAACCCGGCCCATGTGGACCACTGTTTCTCTGGTGTTTCTCCACCACAGAAGGGCGTCGCCCTTTAACAGCTCGGACAGACCGGTGAGAAGATTGTGGTCTTCCAGACCATAGGCCACACTGAGTTCCTCCAGATGCTCGAGGAAAGCGAGGGGGTCCTTACCATCAAAATGGCAGCCCCATTTGCGTATCTGGTTGAGGGCCTTAGCCGGGTCGGCTTCGGGTGGTTCGGGGGTTCCGCGTGCACTCCGGTAACGTTCTTCGCGGCTAAGCGGCGCGTGGAGCGTTTCGGCCGCTCCGGTGTTTGGCTGATTGGCCATTACGTGGTCTCTTATGCGGCGGCGGAGGTCGATTAATCTCCCTTCTGGGTCTAGATCGCGGTTGGTGAGGTATCAGACGGCTTCCTCTTTATCTAGGCGGTAGATCCACCCAAGCATGTGGATTGCAAACCGGAGTCTCAGACGGTCGAGTCGGGTCCCTGTTCGGGCGCCATGTAACGAAGCACCTTTCCCGACGCCACGGATCGGCTCGCCGGTGCCAGGATTCGGGAAGAGGGGAGACTCAGATTTACAATGACACACGGTTGCTCTGGTAAAAGTAGAGTTTATTCGGGGCCACCTTCCTGTGATTCTCCCGTAATTCAAACCATTATACACAGCACAGTATAATCGGACGAAACGCGACCAGATGATACGGACGCGGACACGACTTATTGCTAGGATTGACAGATAGAAATATTACGGACGAGACACGACTTATTGCTAGGATTGACGGATAGAAATATTACGGACGAGACGCGACCAGATTATACGGACGCGGACACGACTTATTGCTAAAGTTTCCAACGCGGACACGCGTACGGGCGCCCTGAGAAGGGCGAGCTCCGTCGGGCGCCGGTGACTTTCAGGTAGGACCCGGTGACCGAGGACGCTCGGCCTGCACGACGAGAACGCTCGTCGGCCGGAGTGATTTCCGGACAGGACCCGGTGACCGAGGACGCTCGGCCTGCACGACGAGAACGCTCGTCGGCCGGGGTGATTTACGGACAGGACCCGGTGACCGAGGACGCTCGGCCTGCACGACGAGAACGCTCGTCGGCCGGGGTGATTTACGGACAGGACCCGGTGACCGAGGACGCTCGGCCTGCACGACGAGAACGCTCGTCGGCTGGGGTGATTTACGGACAGGACCCGGTGACCGAGGACGCTCGGCCTGCACGACGAGAACGCTCGTCGGCCGGAGTGATTTACGGACAGGACCCGGTGACCGAGGACGCTCGGCCTGCACGACGAGAACGCTCGTCGGCCGGGGTGATTTACGGACAGGACCCGGTGACCGAGGACGCTCGGCCTGCACGACGAGAACGCTCGTCGGCCGGGGTGATTTACGGACAGGACCCGGTGACCGAGGACGCTCGGCCTGCACGACGAGAACGCTCGTCGGCCGGGGTGACTTGGAGTGTGGGAGTTGAGGAGTGATCCCTGAGTACGCTCGAGGGACCAGGACGGGACTGGTGCCGAAGTCTCGGCTGCGCCGCTCTTTATACCCGTCGGCCACTTCACTCTAAGACTAGCTTGGAGGGGGCCGAGTGACGGGTGGGGGCGAAAAGGCGGATTCCCAACGTGTTCGTGTGGTGGCCCCGAAAGGGGCCGTTTACATGAGCGCGGGCGACTAGTGACGGCTAATCGGGTCGTCACAACATGTTACAGACCTGAGCGCACCACGCTCTTCTACACTGTAAAAAATTAAGTAAATTTACACAAATAATAAATTAGAAAATTATATGATTAGTTCTGTAAATTTTAAAAATTATATAATTTTACAGAAATTATGTAATTCCACAAAAAAATAAATAAAATTCTCTTATTGTATAAATATATTTAATCTTATATGAAAAATTACGTAATTGATAGAATATTTTAAATATTTTATATAATTATCCATTTTTTGTAATATTATAGATGGTATATAGTGATGATAGTGAATATTATATACTTATTGTAAATTTATTACCGCAATCTGCTTAATTACAAATTAAAAAATTAATTACATATTATAAATTTACAAACGTGTTAAAATTTACAACTATTATAGTTGGTCTTAGAATTACCCACTATAACCAGCAAACACAAAGTAACAGTAGTATAACATTAATATTTCCTTAAGAGTTTAGCAAGGCTCTGTAATATAAATATAAATTTAACGTATAAGACAGGCAATAAGAGCCAAATCGCGGATGACAATGCGTTATCCTAACGAAACTAAATTATTTTTTTTGTTAGAATTAAATACCGGTGCACAAGGCACCAAATTTTACTTGGACACGGCCAAGATTTTTAAAATATGAAATAATCTCATATTTGAGATTTAATTTCAGCCTTGCTAAACTCTTAATTTATACACGCTGGCTTAAAGGCGTTTGTTTACCAACATTAATATATATAACAGAGAAAAGTATAGAATCGAAGGAATCTGAATAGCTCAGATGGAAGAGCAGTCACCCGGCAAGCGAAAGGTCTCGGGTTCGATTCCCGATTCAGCGACTTTCGGATCTATATTTTTCTCTTGCATTCATTTATTTATCTCCGTAGGAGGGTTAAAGGAGTATTGAAATTAAATCTCAAATATGAGATTATTTCATATTTTAAAAATCTTGGCCGTGTCCAAGTAAAATTTGGTGCCTTGTGCACCGGTATTTAATTCTAACGAAAAAAATAATTTAGTTTCGTTAGGATAACGCATTGTCATCCGCGATTTGGCTCTTATTGCCTGTCTTATACGTTAAATTTATATTAATATTTCCATCAATTTCCTATTCAACAATATAAGTGTTATGTACAAAGCATATTATATTACAGTTACATTGTTGAGTATTAAAACATTAATGTTATGTTACTGTTACTTTGTGTTTGTTGGGAATAGGTGTAATTTTACACAAAAATTTTTACAGTGTAAACGATATTATTGGCAATCTTTGATTACTTATAACTCGAAAACTATTGCAGCTTCGATATTTTCGTATTAAGATTTTTATTCTATTTTATTTCAAAAATATATTTAAAAAAAATATTAGAAGATAGTTGTGCACACTTTGTATATATATGTATGTATATATATATATATATGTATGCATGTATGTATATGTATATATATTGTACATATATACATATAATATGTAAGAAAAACAAAATTATAATTATATTATAATAAAATATATATCAATATAGATTATATACTTGGATGGTGTACAAGCTAAACCGCCAAAGGTGGCATTATACAACAATGGCAATATACTGTTGCGCCCCCGTGTTACGCCCCTGGATCTACATCTTTGTATCGGGTGATACTTTTCGCGGGATCAACTCTTTACGCTTCCGGGAGATCGTCGTCAAGGGAGTTGTTGTTAAACAACTAAGGGTCTTCTTCTGTTTTCGGGAGACATGACAGTTTTGGTCTAGCGGTCGCATCGTGCGGACGTTTTCCGAGACCGGAGCTTCTTTGCATTACGAATGCACTATTTGTTATATTTCATTGGTTTCGTGTATTGGTTCCTCATATTAAAGTTCATTTCCCTATTATGCGAGTGTCTTTATTTCGCGCGCGAGTGAGAGTGACTGTGTGTGAGTGACTGAGCGAGAGGCGTCCCGAGGACGCAACATTTTGGGGGCTCAGCCGGGATCAAAACCGAAAGAATCGCATCTTCCTGAGAGAACGCCAAAATGACGACTCAACATTCGCCGAAAGCGACGCGTTCCCGAACAACGATGAAGGAGATAGACGAGACGGATGCGTTGCAGACCGCACTGCGAGAACTACGAGAAATGCGGGCCGAACGAGAACATCAGCAAGCTCGCTTTGAGGCTCTTCTCCGAGAGAAGGACGAACAGCTGCACCAGCTCGAATTGAGGATCTCCTCGCAGCAAACTAACCAGCTAAGTCCTTCTAATATAAGAGCTTCTGGGGATACACGACTGAATTTAGCTTGCGCGAGTACCGCGAGTGCCGCGATAGCCGCGAGTGCCGTGATAAACGCGGGCGAGACGACCGGTGACTTTCGTGCGAAAACGGGCTTAAAACTGAAGCCCGATACATTCGATGGAAGGGTTCCGCTGCGGGAGTTCCTCTCCCAATTTCTTTTGATAGCCGTTGCGAATAATTGGGATGAAAAAGCAAAAATGATTACTCTCGCTGCAAATTTAAGGGGAAAAGCTCGGTCCGTTTTAGAAAATGTTGAGAATTTTGAAGAATTAACATTCGCGGAATTAAAATCAAAATTAGAGTTGCTTTTTGAAGACGGAAACTTGACGCAAAATTATTACTATCTTTTTACGACACGGAAACAAAAATATGGAGAGGATTTCGCTTCCTTTGGAGCCGAACTTGAGAGACTGTCGCGTCTGGCTTACCCCGAATGTCCATATGCGGTCCGCGATAAAATAGCATGCGCGCAATTTGTCTCGGCATTAATAGACGGGTTTGTCAAAAGAACCCTTCAACTGGAGAGAATTACATCTTTAAATTTGGCTATAGAAAGAGCTAAGGCTATAAAAATAATTCAGGGGGATAGTTTTGATAGAAAAAGAGACAATTTTAGTAACAAAGGAAATTACGGCAAAATAAGTCAAAATCATCAAAAGGGAGAGAGGAGCGACGCGCGAACCGATTCCGAAAAAAAGAAAAGCGAACGGTTTGACTCGAAAGGGGAAGCGCAAGCGAACAACTTTTCGGCCAAAGAGAAAGAATGTTGGTCTTGCGGGAAGACTGGGCATTTGCGTTTTCAATGTCCTGAGGCGAAGAAAAACTAGAGATAGTTGAATTTTTCGGGGAAAATTCAATTCTTACAGAAAACGCCCCGACGTCCAATTTTGTTGATCTCATTGATTGTAGTGTTAGAAGGACCTTTCTCTATTGTAAAGAAATTCAACGATGTGGTGTACTGCATTCAGAAGACACCCAGACATCGGAAGAAAGTAGTGCATGCAGATAGATTAGCTCCATTTTTAGATAGAAATATTGATTGTTAATTAGAAATAGTACAAAACTCAAATAAAGATTGCTAGGAATTGGAGAGTTGTGTTTGTGTGTATATTTGTAAGTGCATTTTTTTAATTGGTGAATTTATTCTGCGTAAGGAATGTTTTCTTTTCTAGTTGGAAATTTTTAAGAAGAGGCTTGCCTGAGTTTTTGTTACAAGAGAATTCTCTGAGGAAGTTCCTGCGACCATTACTCATCGAGGGCAACTGGCTCCTTTCAATTGAGAAGACCGTCTCATCTTCAGAAGATTGGTCATTTGGTTCATCACGTTGAAGACTGTCCCTCTCGTGGTTTTTGATCCGTGGTTTTCCCACGAGACTGAGGGCAAATGCCGGGACAGAGACTTAGGGTGTTCACGAGGAACGTTGGGTCCACGGAAGATATTCCCCCCCTTTGTCTGAAGATTCATGGACCATTTCGTTATCCTTCCGGGAGACGGCGAGTATAGTGAAACCGCGAAGACAGCAGGGATATCTTCTATCAACTCGACTGTTATGGGAAAAATCTGGCCAATTTTTCTTCAAAAAAACAGTTCGAGTACGGAGAGGAGGAGGGCGAAGCTCGGTAACCTGTAGCAGCAGCTAAGGGAGAGCAGGATTCGTCCGGACAGTGTAGACGCGAAAGGAGAGGGACCAGGCGTTTCGTTCGGTAACCTGTAGCAGCAGCTAAGGGAGAGCGGAGTATTGTTGGTGCCCTGATAGCAGCGTCAGAGTCCTAGGTCTTCAATCTCCGTGAGAATTGTCGGGACGACAATTTTGAAGAAGGGGGGCAGTGTTGCGCCCCCGTGTTACGCCCCTGGATCTACATCTTTGTATCGGGTGATACTTTTCGCGGGATCAACTCTTTACGCTTCCGGGAGATCGTCGTCAAGGGAGTTGTTGTTAAACAACTAAGGGTCTTCTTCTGTTTTCGGGAGACATGACAGTTTTGGTCTAGCGGTCGCATCGTGCGGACGTTTTCCGAGACCGGAGCTTCTTTGCATTACGAATGCACTATTTGTTATATTTCATTGGTTTCGTGTATTGGTTCCTCATATTAAAGTTCATTTCCCTATTATGCGAGTGTCTTTATTTCGCGCGCGAGTGAGAGTGACTGTGTGTGAGTGACTGAGCGAGAGGCGTCCCGAGGACGCAACAATACTATTTGAGTTACAAATTTTAAATAACACAATAATTTCGACATTAAGCAAATACAATGAAAATTCATCAAATTCAGAGCCAGAAAAAATTAAACTTTGTGATGTATTCAATACCTCAAATCGCATCTGTAGGTTTCATATATTATACACAAAAAGAATATTTCTAATAGTTACATATACAAATAGAAATATTAAATATAAAGAAACATCTCTTTGTATAATATATATAAAATTATTATATTTCATTATTATATATTCTTATATACCTGTTTTTCATTGGTATATGTATGTGTGTGTGTGTGTATTATATATATATTTTTTACAGTATTAGAAGGATATATCAAAACTAATTTAAGCAGTATACATAATAACAAATTAAATAAAATCATTGGATGCGGATCATTAACGGACGGTGTTTATAAATTAGAAGTACACATTGTTAATTTTGTAGAAGATGATTATTACGAAATGGATATCCGAAAGGGTGACAAAATAGAAATTATTGGAGTGATGAGCAATACAGGTATACAATATTACATAAATCAAAATATATTAATTTTTTTTAATTATATATATAAACCAATACAAACTAAGAAATAAAATTTTCTCTCTCACAAAACCATACACCTGCCCATATGCCCATCATTTCACACACACGCATGTACGTACATCCGCATCTTCATGTACATATAAACACATACATATCCAAATTCATACCCACATACATATCCACACACTCCACACATATGAACACACACGCTTGTACACATGCACCCACGCACATTTATAAAACAACATGCTTGTACACTCATACAAATACTCACACGTTTGCATACACACATACACATCGCATATTCACATACATGTTCATATACATGAATTCATATTCACACACACGTCCACACATGCGTTAGCATACACGCACACACACATTCACATGAATTTATTCTTATACTCATAAAATTTTCTCTCTCTTTATTTTATAATTAATCTGATATTATACATATCACATATATTATATGTAAATACAAACTTTATATCATTGTAATGATATTTTATTACTTCAGTTAAAAAGATTTAATAAAATATATAATACTATAACAAAATATTTATATTGATGTGTGTATTTCAAGAGAGACAATTTTACGTACGTATCAATTTTCAACAAATTTTTTATAATTTATTTTTTAGTTTTTATTGGTTCATGCATTAAATAAATAATATGTATATTTAAATAAATAATATACAGGGTCCCCAAATTCGCGAATTCGGAATATACAGCGTGATTGTTCGTGCCAAAAGAAACAACTTTTTCCTGTGACAAAATTACGTCTGAGCACTACTTTTTAAATGAGAATGACTTTAATCTAACGAATGAGCGTTCTAGATTTCGCATTGAGTTAGGAGCGGTGCGCGAACGGAGTGCGTAACACATGAGAATATATACAGATAAGAAGTCTACATTTTGAATATATGCTTTAAAACATTTAATCGGCCCTTTTCAGAGCCAAAAAGTTTTTAGAACGTTGGAAAATAAACTTGGATTAAAATTATTCACGTATTATTTAATTTACAATATGTTACTTTTAATCGTTAATATCATTTGGGAGATATTTTCTAATGAAGTACTTAAGTTGAATTGAAAAGAAAATTTAGATATGCATAGTTATAATATCTTTAGCAAAATAATAAAATAGCATACACGCTTATGCACCACGCACGTCGTCTGTGCGCAGTTCTTGGTTCATGCAAAATTAAGAGCGCTCACGCATTAATTTAAAGTCATTCTCATTTAAAAAGTAGTGCTCAGACACAATTTTGCCAGAGAAAAGCTGTTTCTTTTGACACGAACAATCACGCTGTACATTCCAAATCCGCAAATTTTGGAACAACCTATATATTAGATAGATAATATATATACTTTATTTTACAATGTTGCAACTCTGTATCTAACAATAAGATTTAAACTGTTATCTAAAATTAAGACAGTTATCCAAGATTAAGATAAATATATTAATAATTAAAAATAATAATAATAATTAGAAATATATTAATTATTTTTTTATTTTACTTTATTTTTATTTTTATTTTTTAAATTTTATATTTTTTTGTTTTATTTTATAATTTTATTTTATTTTATTTTTAGTACCGGCATACTTAACAGTAAATTCTGTAAAAGATATACGCAAGATAGATGGGCATATGACGCTATGTAATTTATTGAAAGGGATAAAAACCCCTCTAAAAAGAAAGAATGAGGATAAAGAAAATTTAGCACAAATAAATGAAATTTTAATATAATAATATCCTAAAAAAATCATAAAAATAAAAAGGTCAGGCCATGTTCAAAAGAAGGTACTCAAAAATTTAAACGATCTAATAATAAATTATCACGAAAAGTAACTGATATGTTATTCAAGGTGCCAGTTCAAAGTGAACATACGTAAAGTGTATATTATCTAAATTTAGTAATAATATACCCATATAACATTGGATATTCTATGAATATTCATTTTTCTTCCATAATATGAAAAAAATATCCTGTATATTGAATGTTTATACATTTCATATACATGATTTGGATATACATTAGAATATGTAATATGTATATTCATTGATGTATTTCATATGTACGTACAGTTTATTTATGTACAATGTATGTGAAATGTAAATACATGATTTGTATATACCTTACAGTATGTAATATGTATATACATTTCTGTATATCATATATACATACATTTTATAATCTCTAAATATATACATTTCATATACATGATTTGGATATACATTAGAATATGTAATATGTATATTCATTGATGTATTTCATATGTACGTACAGTTTATGTATGTGCAATGTATGTGAAATGTAGATACATAATTTGTATATGCCTTACAGTATGTAATATGTATATTCCTTGATGTTTTTATATATACATATGGCAAATGTATGTAAAGTGTAAATGTATAGTTTATATGTACTTTATATGTACTTTAGTGTATATATAATATGTATATACATTTTTGTATATCGTGTGTACATTATGTTTCATAATATCTATAAAACACAATGAGAAAAAAGTTTTGTGTCAGTAACTAAAGCTTTGGTTGATATGTGACCAATTAAACATTGCTATTTTTTTCAGTACATATAGTATATTTTAAATACATAATTTAAATGTATATCATAATATGTAACATGTATATTCATTAATGTATTTCGTATGTTTATATAGTTTGCGTATATCTGATATATATAAAATGTAAATACATAAATTGTACATACCTATAATGTATGTGTTATAGCCCGAAAAACTATAATTACAAGTTAACGGATATAAAATCCGCGTGGAGACCGCTGATGCAGCAGCGGGCCGGAAACCGCGAAGACGCAAGCTAAGAGCTTTATCTTTCGAACAGCTCTTAGCTCAAAATCTAGCCGCGTATGCAAAAGCTATGCACCAATCGGGTGCCTGTCGCCAGGCACCCCTTCCAAATGAAATAACGAAAAACCGAGTTCACGTAAGAACTCGGGAGTGAACAGAGAGCGAGTTGAATTAGACCAACCTACCGAGACACATCGAGGATAACTCCCGACTCGTAATCAGACGAGTCGTTATTTAGCTAAAGTCAGAATAAATCTAGTAGTCGCTAACGAAAATCCAAAAGGTCGAGTCGCTAATTAAAACCTAACTAGGAGTCGAAGACAAGCCGCAGAATATAACTATCACCTGTAATCTGATTATCGAGAGCGAGCACACCTAACTAATCACTCAGGTGGGATTATACATAATTAATCCAACTCAAGAAATAAGCGAAATAAAAGATTTATTCAAAAACACAAGCGAAGTTAATCAAAGTGGAGACGCCCGCCGATCCTAGGATCCTCATCCTTCAGTCGACTGAGACCCCAAAATTTTCCGTGCCTTCCCGGAGGCACAACAATTTGGTGGCAGCGGTGGGATCTCAGCCGCAGGGCCGACGTCGTCTCCAAAATTTTCACAGCGGCGAAGACCTGTAAAAACACATACAATTATAACAAGTGTTAGACGGGCACGTCAGTAACTCTGACGGAAACAAGCAGAAGCCACGACTAGGAGAGAACGAGAGAGCGGACAACATAAACAGTGCAACGAGTGATAAGCAGCAGAGAATCGAAAAGGATCGCCGACGTCCATAGACAACGCCGACCTACGACAACCTCACGGGCAGCGCATCAACACGAGCGACGACCCGCCGTATCTATCACCAACACGGAGCCGCCGTTATCAGCCCACGAGCGATCGAGTTGCAGCAGCAGCAGCCGACCCGTCTAGAGCGTAACGATGCGAGCCGTTATACTGTAAGTCCGAATTTATTTGATTGCGTGAATGTCGGAAGGTGACGAAACACCCCGACAAGCGATTAAAAACCAATCGTGGTTGCATAGTACACCTGTACGGTTAACGACGCGAGTATTGCCTTTAACTGCGCAAAATCTCGAAAGCGTTCGTAGAAATTTAGACAGCGACTTGACAAACGAAAATAATACCGAGTTACCTCCGAACGTAATAAACGAACGAGAATTTCCGTTTACTAGTTTTGACGCGAGTATATTCGCAAAAGGGCAGGGACGTAATCAACGCGAGCTTATGACTCGCGCTTACTGGGAATTCCTCGTTCATGGGGAACAATTGCAAGCCCCAATCCCTAGCACGAAGGAGGTTCAGCGGGTTACCCGGGCCTTTCGGCCAGGGAACACACGCTGATTCCTTCAGTGTAGCGCGCGTGCGGCCCAGAACATCTAAGGGCATCACAGACCTATTATTGCTCAATCTCGTGCGGCTAGAAGCCGCCTGTCCCTCTAAGAAGATTTGTTTGTACGTTGGTAGTAAAAACCCGCCAGCCGAAGCCGGGGGCCTTCGCGATACCATAAGGTACGCCTATTTAGCAGGCTAGAGTCTCGTTCGTTATCGGAATTAACCAGACAAATCGCTCCACCAACTAAGAACGGCCATGCACCACCACCCACCGAATCAAGAAAGAGCTATGAATCTGTCAATCCTTCCGGTGTCTGGGCCTGGTGAGGTTTCCCGTGTTGAGTCAAATTAAGCCGCAGGCTCCACTCCTGGTGGTGCCCTTCCGTCAATTCCTTTAAGTTTCAGCTTTGCAACCATACTTCCCCCGGAACCCAAAAGCTTTGGTTTCCCGGAAGCTGCCCGCCGAGTCATCGGAGGAACTTCGGCGGATCGCTAGCTGGCATTGTTTATGGTTAGAACTAGGGCGGTATCTGATCGCCTTCGAACCTCTAACTTTCGTTCTTGATTAATGAAAACATTTTTGGCAAATGCTTTCGCTTCTGTCCGTCTTGCGACGATCCAAGAATTTCACCTCTAACGTCGCAATACGAATGCCCCCATCTGTCCCTATTAATCATTACCTCGGGGTTCCGAAAACCAACAAAATAGAACCGAGGTCCTATTCCATTATTCCATGCACGCAGTATTCAGGCGAAGGTAGCCTGCTTTAAGCACTCTAATTTGTTC